CAAATTGTCTTCCTCGAATACATATGCCTTCTTGACTACCTCATTTTTGCTAATTGCCTTCATGAATGCATTCACTTTGACAAACGACAATCGACCCCTTTGTTTATCCTCAACATACTTTGTAATTTTTAATAGATAGTCCACATAGTCGATACTTTATACTGTTCCGACATTTTCTGGAGATAAGCGAGAACAACTCGTTTATCTATATGTGTAACCATTTGCTCTTCCGTCCACGTGTTGAATTTATCGTATTCTTTTTTATAAACCGCTTCGGATTTTTGTGGTATTAAGCGCGATTTTGCTTTATTATTTAAATACTCAATATTTAAACTCATTTTAAACAATAACAACTGTTGCGACAAATAATCTTACGTGACAGATTGAAAATAAATTTATGTTTGTCTCATTTTCATGACAACGAGGTATACTGATGTTACATCACAAATTCAACCATTTTCAGTTATTAGTTCCTAATTCCATTTTTTTGTAGAGATAATACCAATATTTAGGATTTCAAAGTATACCAATAAAAAAATAGCGTAAAGTACTCGTGGATAACTGGTCTTTAAAACACTTGCTCTATTTCGAGCACTCCGGCTGCGCCGTCGTGCTCGAAAAATCGCGCGTGTTTTAAAGACCGTTATATCCACTTTACTTTATTATACTATTATTTTCATAAAGAAATGTACAATATTGTAACGTTTATTTACTTTAAATAGTTTATTATTAATTTTATTTACACTATATTCACTAATTTATTTATTAACTGAATTTAAAACGCTAATCTATATATTAAATACTTATTTACTAATTTTTTAACAACATATATTTTAACACATCATTATTTCGACCTAAACTAAACTTTTTAGGTCAAAGTTTGGCCTTCAAGCATATATATTTCATAGAGTCCGTATTCAAGAGTGTTTGTTTGGGTTAAGAGGGGAAATGTGTAGACACTATTACCAGTGTCGCATCATTTTTACGGGGTTTTCAATTAATATAAATAATAAATTTGATACATACCTTTAAAATTCTTTAAATTATACACATATTTTATAAACTTGCATTATTTAAGTAGGTATTTAGTAATAGTAAATTATTATTTATACTTGTGTTGGACACATCAGATTTTTTTTAATTCAAACATCAGAAAGTGTATAACGGAAAAATGACGGTTGAAAAAATAGGCAAGACAAAAGATAGAAAGCTTTTATTTAAAAATCAAAAATATAAATAAATAGTAGGTATAGTATACAAATATTTATGGTATCTATTAATACAAGAATTTTTTCTAATAAATTATTAAATATAAAAATATTGTTCGTATACAATGTTCAACAGACAGATTACCAAACGATATACTACAAATAGAAATCAAGCTAATACTTAGGTACTTAAGTATATTTACACTGCTAGTCGTTAACAAATAAGTGAAGTTTTATTTTTATTGGAAAACTGTTTTAAGCTTCGATTATTTCTTAATGAATAGGAGTGCAAATAAAAGAAGCTTAAAATACCTTTTTTATTGAAAAACACATTAGGTTTTGCTTATTTCTTAACACTAGTAGTCTACTTAATTAAAGAACATAGGTGCATTTAATACAAAATAATTATTGTTAATTTTTGTGGTTATAAAAAATATAGGTAGTAATAGGTAATTATTTTAAAATGAAATTTATGTTACATTAAAAAGTACTTAGTTACTTACATGTTTTCTAATTCTACATTTCCTTCTTCTGCAACAGAGGCTTCATGGTTCAGATCATCACTGAAAAATTAAAAATTTTTAACGATTAACCCACAAGAAAAGTGCGGGGTTCTTTATCTTTTAGAATCATCTTCTTCTGGGGCCTCAGTAAATCCTGATGGCAATTTACCTGGAATTAATCTAGTTCTTCCTTCGCATCAAGTCTTTGACATAAACATATATCCATAAAAATAATTGGAACATAAAACATTACTATTTGAAATGTTTTCTGGAGTAAGTTTTAATATGTTTCACCAAATGTGGTTTGCGGCAGCATTATTTGGAAACTTATAAAAACCAAAAATTCAACATTATCATAATAAAATGACTTAAAAACGATAAGCTTGTTTATATTGAAAAATTATGATTATTATTATTTTTTTTTTTCAGTGGAGTCCAAAATCTAAAGCAATACTCATACATAATACAAGTTCTTTAAATTTAATTCATTAAATTTACCATTTATTTTAAATTCATGTTTAACGGCCTTTTGCTTAAAATGTAGGTACTTATGTTTCTTTTAAAAAAATGGTAGAGACTCTAATGGTTACTTACTTGTGAAATGACTTTGACGATGCTTCTTCATATTTCTATTTAAAACTTGCACAAACTCTTACCATTATTAAAATTTGTATCTCTAAAGTAATAAAATACAAAAAATCACTTATAAACTACAAAGATAAGCTAAAAATTAATAAAAATCAAAAATCAGATGACAGTTCTGACAATATCGAACGATTTGACATGTCAAGCAAAACGAAACAGACCAATGGGAATGCTGGTCACTATTTTTCCCCCTGTACCAAAACAAAATCCATTTGGACGATGGCTCTAGTAATATACGTTCGAAGAGTTTGGCTAGTTATATTAAAATGTGGCGTTCCAGGCCTGTTCTCGAGAATTCTAGGTGCTCTTGATCAAACCAGACCAAGTATCAGAGCAACTCTCTGCATATTTTTGACCTTTTAACCAGTGATGCAAAAAGTCTTAATAAAATCAAAAGTGCAAAGTGCGTGACAAAGTCATTGGAACAACTCTACAACTAAGCTGAGAGCAGTGAATGCTCAAGTGAATTCGTGGCAAGAATAGCCAAAAGACTTGATTAAGACTAGATCATACTAAATTAACACACGTTCATCGGATAAGAACATATGAGTTTTTTTACATTATTTTCACGTGTATAATATACTCCTATAGTTTAGTGCGCTCCTCCCGACTCACCCTGTATAATATCTTTTGTTTTAAAAATTTGTTATTTTAATATTTTCAACTCATGTCAGTCACTCTACATACTATTAACTATACTATTCTTTTTATCCTTTTATTTTCACATATTTCCTTTATAATACTCTCCTTATACATAAAACTAAATCATTTTCTTATTATGTTCATCTTGAATTACTTCTTTACATAGTTCAAAATTCTCTTAATTATATCTATTTTATTAAAATTATACATTTTTTTAGATTCAGTTCAATTAATTTAATTTTACGTTTAAAATTCTCGTATATATAACCGAATCCCGTATAATTTTTCTGTCATTTATCACGCCCCAAATCTAAAACATCTAATTCGTGCCAATTTTTCAACGTTTTCCGGAGATAATGCCTCAGTTACGAGGGCAAATCAGAATATGCACACTTATATTTTTTAGGACTTTCAGAAAGCGTAAAAAGTACATATTGGGCATAAGGTATTAGTAGATATTACTAGCTCTAATTTCAACATTTTATGTAGATTTTTGAATAAATTATATAAATTAATAATTTTAATTATTACAATTTATACTAATGCTGAGCGAAGATTATTTTTTTAAGAAACTAGCTACATTAGGTATTCATGAAAGTTATGAAATATTTCAATTCTAATTACATAAATATACAGGGTGTTCCTTAATGACATGCTAATATTTAAGGGGGTGATTCTTGGGCCCATTTTAAGAAAAAACTTTATATGGACGTATGTCCTAAACCTCCTAACTTTTGAGATACCGGGCGGTAAAATTTAAAAAAATATATATTTTTTTATAACTGTGATACTATTGTTAGGGTTGCCAAACGTCACGCTTTTGGCGTGGCTGCTACGCTTTTTAACTTGCCTGTACGCTTTTTATGCAAATTCCACGCTTTTTAAAAGCCGCAGAGGAATCGGATTTATACAAAAATAGAGAAATATCCGGGTAAAAGAACCTCGTTTTTAGGAAAAATTAGCAGCTGAGGTTTTTTTGGTTTTTTTAGAAATGTGTTCACAAAAACTGGACCTGATTATATAAAAATGCTCTATCCTTACGGTTGCCACGCTTTTCTCTTCCGGAAAACTCTAACTATTGTAGATATATTTATGAAATTTAACACAGTTACTTTAGTTAACAAATTTAAGCCGTTCATGTGAACATTCTGAAATCCCCGCTTAAATTATAATGCTACAATTATTATTGGCACTTGATTTTGTTTTATTTTTTCCTAAAGCAAAATAAGTTACTTACTTCTGAATTAATTAAAATTTCATATTAAATGAACTCAATAGCTTGAAAAAAGGAAAAAAGCGATTTCTACGCAACACTCACCGCATCAGACATTTAACGATTTGACCGTGAAGTTAAACTATTTTTATTTTTTTAAGCGAAAACCATGAGTCGGGCGAAAGAAAATCAAGAAATCAAATTTGCTTATAATTGAATTAAAATTCCAAAAATAATTTTTATTTTGAGAATAGGCAGTGACATACCATTTTTTCTCCAAAAATATTCAATACAAAACCCGTACCTACGCCAATGCCCTGCATAATTGTTTATTTATCCTAGGAACTCAAATAAGTATTACACTTAAATTGGTTTTCACCCTTTCAAACATTAAACTCTGGCTAGAAATCTAACTGGTTTAAAATGGCAATTTCGATGTAAGAAGTGTGATGTGTGTAATGGTATATTTTCAATCCGAGGTGACTTCTACCGTCCTTATTCATACGAGGTTAGGTTTAAAATCGACAAAAACCTATTTTGATCCACAAATATCGAACAAAATAGTTATCTAGTCTTTGTAAAAGCTTAGCTAATTAAATGTTCTTGAAATAAGATTGTCTATCTAAAAACCTCGAGAAATAGTGTATGTGATTTTAACAATAATAGGAAGTTAAGTTATGATTAATAAATAAATTAAGAATTAACTAGTGGAGCTTCACGGGGTTAATATAAGGTTAATGATGCCGCTTAATTAACTGATGTACTAAATAAGTGCAAATTCTTTTGCAGATTGGCGATGAAGAAAGAAGAGCCCTAATCCTTAAATTTCAGTATGGATGGTTGTCAAGGTGGAAATGGCTGCTCTACTCCAAGTTTGTAGACGGAGTTTACTGCAAATATTGTTCTTTTGGAAAAGGAAGAGGCTTCCAGACTGTGGGTGTCTTAGTAAGAAAGTCTTTCAGACGTTGGAAGGACGCGATGGAACAATTCAATAACCACGAAAATAATAATTACCATGAACGCTGTATACTTAAGGCTGAAGATTGGTTAAAAACTTATAGAAGCACGATACCAAGTATCCAGATGCAAATTATTGAAAATAGGAAAGCAGTCCTACCAATAATTGAAACTGTATTGTTTTGTGGTGAGCAGGGTATACCACTTCGAGCTCATAGCGACCACGGGAAACTTAATTTGGAAGTTTGTCCTACTGAAAGAGAGGGAAACTTCCGAGTTAATTCTGGAGATAAGGATTTGAAAAGGCATTTAGAGATAGGATCGAAAAATGCACTTTACCTCTTACCAAAAACACAAAATGAAATTATTTATGCTATTAATAATATAGTGCTGAAGAAATTGGTTGAGATGGTAAATTCAGCGAAATGTTTTACTGTTCTTGCAGATGAAACGATAGACGTCTCAACACAAGAACAAACATTAATCGGCATGATATACCTACATAATAATGGCATTAGAGAAGATTTCCTTCAGTTTGTACCTGTTTCTGATTTAACAAGTAAGAACCTTGCGACAATCATTTTAAATTACTTACGGGAGTTTGGAATCGATACAAAGTTTTTGAGGGGACAAGGATATTATGGGGCCTCAGCAATGAGTGAAACATTCATCGAAGCACAGGCTTATGTAACGAAAGAGCATCCGACTGCAATATATGTCCATTGTGCATCCCATAGCTTAAACCTTGATATAAGTGCATCGTGTTCAGTTTCTAAAATCAGAAATTGCAGTGAGACTGCAACAAAACTCTGCGTGTTCTTTAACACTCCAAAACGAATGGACGTTATTAAAAGAGCAATTGAGAAACTGTTTCCTGAAGCCAAATCTACCCGTCTAAAACAACTCTGTCCAACTAGGTGGGTTAAGCGCCATGATTCCATATTACAAATTCAAGAAATGTTACCTGCTGTCAATGAGGCTCACAGTTTCACAGTGGGAGGATCTAGAATCAGCTTCGATGGCATCGCAGCTTTTATGTGCACTTCAGAAATCATCCTTCATAATCAGTTTACAGTTGATGGGTGAAGTATTTTTCTTAAGCTTAAGATATTGATTTTTGAATGCCATAAACATGGTGAACTATCTTAAAAGGGACGATAGAGAAAATGAGATCAAACGCTGAACAAGAATTTTCAACAATATTTAAACTATTAGAGACTATGGTTGAATTACTTAGTTCCGCAATAAAAACCCCAAAAAGAACTGGAAGACAAACACAGAGGTGTAACATTGAAACAGACACTCCTGAATTATATTTTAGAAATTCCATTTTTGGATCACTTTTTAAGTGAATTGAATCATCGGTTTGTAAAACATGAAGAAGTACTGGGAATTTTTGAGTGTCTAATACCTACCAGCAATGCTGAAGCCACAAAAACACAGGAAGAAAGTTTAAAAAAACTACTGAATTTCTATCAGGAAGATATACAAATTAGTGATGTCGCTGCCATTGGAGAACTTCATATGTAGTACAAGAGGGTTCAAGATTTGAAAATCAGCTCAAGAAAGGCCATTAATTACTACACTGCCTGCCATAAGGATGTTTTCCCCACCCTTCTGAAAATTCGTGCCACTCTTCCTGTGTCCACAAGCACTAGTGAAAGATCTTTTTCGTCTCTACGAAGACTGAAAACTTACTTAAGGAGCACAACTGGCCAGCAAAGATTAAACGGTCTTGCTATGCTTAATATCCAGAGAGCTAGATATCACTAGTAGTGAAGTGTTAGCAAAAACACCTCGCCGACTTGAATTTAGATTGTCCTGAGTGATTGTGTATAAACTTCTGTAGAGAGGGGAACGATCGCAATTTTTTACTTATATAATTTCAGAATATTTTTTATCTTGTTTGATAATGCAATTTCATTTTATTTTTATGATGAGTCTTAGTCTTAATTTATTGTTTATTAAGTGCGGTAAGTTATTATAACTAATAAATAGGATCACTTGTATTTCTTGATTGTCCTTCCAAAAATAACATTTAGGTATAACCAAAATAACATTTATAACTCGCCTAACAAACTTCTCGAAACTACTATTTTTTCACACATCCCTCGTATTTGATTCCAGTCGATATTTCAGCGTTCTTTAAGGATAATACCTCATTTATCTCCCTTTGTTTCAGGTCGCCTGGGTAAGGGCCGAAGATCAAACTATTCTCAGTCTTCACACGAGGGTTGTAACTCATAACAACCGCGTCAGCGTTACCCACGACGATGCGGAAACGTGGAAACTGCGCATAAGACCCGTTAAAGAATCTGATAGGGGCTGCTACCTCTGCCAGATAAATACACAGATTCTCAAATCGCAGAAAGGCTGCCTGGACGTATTCGGTAAGTTTTATATATTTTAGTTAATATAAAGGATGCTTTCAATAAGGAATTATTACGTCACTGATGAAGAGGACAGATATAATTAATGTTTCGAATCGGAGATCAGTAAATCGAAAATGAACTAAATATAAATAAAAAGCCAAAATTAATTAATTTATTTAACGCCCCACACATAAATAAATAAATTGCTTTATAATAAAAAATTATTCAGGAAACAGGAGTTTAATGAGTTAAATTCAGAGGAAGTGCGTCATATTAGTTTGGTATAAACTCAAGAGTCCCAGGACCCACATTTAGGTCCTGTTCTTTTTATTTTAAATATTAATGATATTACAACTAGTCTTGGATATTCCGAGGGACCTCTTTTTGTAGATGACTATAAATAAAACCGGTAAAAAATTGTGTTTCTTTACAGAAACATATTATTTAAAATGTAATTAAGTGAAGATTTCATAACAAGCTATACTTTAATATAACCAATTGTAGTGATATAAGTTTTACAATAAGGAAAAATTGTATAAACTTTGAGCATGAATACGATGATTATATTTTAAATAGAAACTACTACTTAATCTACCAGAAAGACCTTAATTTATAGAATAAAGAATATAAGTAAAAGGATAACTTTAAGATATGCTATTTAAATGAAATATTTTTATAAAATATATATTAATATATAAATTTAAAATATATATTAATATATAAATTCATCAAATTTATGATCTGAATTAAATTATACTGGGGTGGTGAAGTTTCTTGATATCAAAATTTAAGTAAAAATAAAAATGTCGGGAGTAAGTAATGGACGCCTTGAGCCCTATTATTATACCCCCCTATGCTGCGCAATCGTGGCCACAGCTCTGAAATTGACTAACCTACCCTATGTCAAAAGAGTTGCCAACTTAGCAGTGTTACTAACTAACATGTCAACTATCTGTTAGCGCCTTATACCATTCCGCGAAAAAACACCGAAAACCTAGAAAAGAACGTTTTTGAAACGTCAAAAAATGTCGAAAATGTTAAAAAAAAAAAATTGAAAAAACGTCGAAAACGTCGAAAGCAACGCTTTGGAACGCACTATGATGTTTGCTAAATGACATTGTCAACGTGAAGCGTCTAGTTTATACGTTTTTTGTTTCTATGCTATTAGAAATGGAGATAGCCGAATGGTGTAAGGCGCTAACAGATAGTTGACATGTTAGTTGGTAACACTGCTAGGTTGGCCACTCTTTTAACATACGGTAGGTTAGCCAACTTCAGAGCTGTGGCCACTCTTGCGCAACGTAGGGAGGGGGGCTATAAACACGAGACTCAAGGCGCCCATTATCCACTGTTTTAGATGATTTATGGAAAATAGATTTGATTGAGGTATATTTGGGAATTTGTAAAAATGTCATGAGAAAAATTGAGAATTGTCAGAGGGAAATTGAAAATGTCAGGGTAATTTTGTTAGGAGAGATTAAAATAGATATAGGAAGAGAATGTATTAAAATAAAATTGTTGGACAAATTATTATAGTTGGAGTTAATAAATTGGATTAAAACTAAAGGTAAATTTTTTTTATATTTATTGGAAGGAATGGAAAATTTTAATGTACAGAATCAGAGATAAGCGTGACAGACAGAGGTTAACAGAGGCAGGACAGGTAGAGGCAGGACATATATACACAGCAGAGACAGGCAGACATAAGCAGCACACACAAGTAGAGACAAGCACATAGGTAGAGACGAGGAGGTAGGCAGAGACCAGCAGACAGGTAAATGCAACAGAGACAAGCATAGACAACGGGAAAATAAAGAAGAGATGGCAGAAGAATTTAAAATTAATTTTTGTTTATTGTTAAATTTGGTAAGATACTATTGATTGTAAAGTTTTAGAGACGCACATGATTTTTATGTCTTTTTTATGAACCGTAGTTACACGAGATATCTTCACTAGGGATAGGTAGTGCAAGAATTTAGAATAACATTATAAATTATATGTAGAGGACTTGAAAAATTGTCTTTAAAAAGAAATAAAAGGAGGAGATCAGGCACCATGGAAAAATTAGATTTAATTATTTTTAATACCCTTATGCGCGTTTAAAAACCACAACTTATGTGTGCAGTTGATACGCGTCCAAGAAAATTTTAATTTACATTTCACGAAAGGTAAATTGCGTTCCAATATTCCTAATCAAGGTTTTTTAATTATCTTTTTTTACTAATTAAAAATAAATTAAAAGACGAAAGTGAAATTACCGAACCTAAACTCTTCACAAAATATTTAAGCTTTTGATGCGCATTTTAAAAATTTATTATACTGGTTGTCCCTAAATTCAATTGCTAGTTGTATCTTAACTGAATATATGCCAAATTGGTAATTATATTAATTATGAAATAATAAAAGAAATATAGCGGTTTGTAAAAGGGTATATATTAATATAATGAAATAGACAATTCCGTCATGACAGAAAATTATATATATGACATTTTTCTTTTTTAATAAATATTAAGGCCGCAATATCACTGTTTTTCTGATATAAGAAGTAAGGGTTCACCATTTCCGATTGCATTTAAATCCCGCTAAATGAATTAAAATAAATCTTCTACCAGCTTAAAGTATAAGGTTTGGAGAATGAAATCTCCTATTTTTTATTTGTCCTGTTTATACACTGAATTTAAAAAAAAATAATAAAAAGTGATTTTAAAACCAGAGGCTAAAAAGTAGGAGATTTCATTCTACATATTTTTCCAAGTATCCCGCCAAAATATTTCTAAATTTTATTGCGTATTTTTCAAATCTAACTGGAAATACGATTAACAAATATTTGATAAATTTATTTGTCAAATTAGAGATTTTCTATGAATTCCTGTAATTTTGTACAGTTCATGTAGTTCATCTATTTTTAAGAAGATGTCACCGTAAAAAACAGTATAGCTATTCTACTTTAGAGATGGTTTTAATAGGTAAATGATTGTTTAGAGGTACCAATTTTTGAAACAATGATACAGGTGTATGCCGTCTTTTATTGTTTCGTGATTTTCATATATATTTGTCTCGTTTGGTTCCAAATTATCGATTGATTTTGCCTGTGTATGAACAAGTGTTGACCACGTTGCCAGATTATCGATTTATACGATAATTTCACAATTCTTTCTAGGACGAATTTGATTTTAAAGTGGGTGAAATATACAATAGTGAAATGCAGGAAAGGGAAGGAACTTTATTGCATTCCGATGTAAATTAAATCCGAATGACCTGGCATCATTGTATGATACGCACGTAATATTGGCGGTCTTTGCTTTTTTCTCCTGAATGTTATTTTATCTTTATAAGGAATCTTATTTCTGAGTTAACACGTTGACTGCTATGTGTATGTAAATGTACCCATGTGTATGTCCTATTAGTGCGTAATTGTTCAATATTTTAATTTATGTTAAAGACACGCAAACATGTTTCAAAAAAAAGTTATATGGATTAAAAAAATATATATTTTAAAAATATTTTTAGATATATACAGGGTGCTACATTCTTGCTTAGTATATTTTTAAAATAGAACATGTATTTTATTTCAATTTTAGAATGGTTCGGTAATACTGTATTCAACCTTAGAATAATTTAAAAAAATATTACAGGTCTGCCAAGCAATTAAATTTTTATAAAATTAGAAAATAATGCAGACCCTAAATTAAATTATCATAATTCAAAATTGTTTAATATACTGACTTATAGCACATTAAGATAACGAATAGTAGTGATAGTGCTGGATTCTTTTATAGCGAGTGTTTTGAAACATGTCTTAAAATGGTTACTTTTAAGTCAAATTACTCAATTTTTCAAAGGCAGCATTTGATATAATATTTTAGCATACAATTCCTTATAAATTTGCATATCCAACGATACCAACATATTAGAGAATAACATATATACAGAGTGTCTCATCAGTGCGTAATTGATCGATAGCTGTTTTATTATTAGAAATAAGAAAAAAAAATAATATAAAAGTTATATGACCATATTAAAAATTATTCCTATATATACAGGGTGGTCCATAAACGAGATGTTGACCAAACCTATACATTTTTAAATCAAAACACCCTGCAGGTAGTTATACATATTTGATTGTTTTCACGTCGTCAAATAATGTTAATTGACTTTATTCATTTGCTATGTTCTATATAGAGTGTGTCAACACGCGAGGTTACAAATGCTTAAATTTTTTTCAATGGAATATTATATTAATTGGTGGCATAACATACAAGGTGTTCCATTTAGAAAATTAAGAAAATCGTGACCATTTTCACACATTCTATATACAACATAGCAAATGAATGAAATTGAAATTATTGAAACGATGTGAAAACAGTCAAATATGCACCTGCAGGGTGTTTTACTTTAAAAATGTATAGGTTTGGTCAGACAATCGTTTATGGATTATCCTGTATATTTATAAATAATTGTTAATTATGGTCATACAACTTTTATATTAATTTTTTCGTATTTCCTATTATAAAACTGCTATCGATCAATTACGCACTCATGGGACACCCTGTATATGTGTTATTGATATCGTTGGATATGTTAATTTATAAGGAATTGAATGCTTAAATAATATACAGGGAGTGGCATTTGAAAAAAATTAAATAAATTTAACTTGGAATTAGCCATATTTAAGACTTGTTTTTCAAAACACACTGTAAAAAATAATCCAGTTCTATTACCACTATTCGTTAGCTTACTATCTTATTACTACATTTAAAAAAAAATTGAAATTATTTTAAACCTACCTAAATTATGATAATTTAATTTGGGGTCTGAATCATTCTCTAATTTCATAAAAAAATGAATTTATTGGCAACCCTGCAATATTTGTTAATAAACTTCTAGGGTTAAATACAGCATTACCAAAGCATTCAAAAACTGAAGTAAAATACAGGGATTTCTTTTTAAAAAATATACCGTTTTATTTGTCAGACAAAAAAGCAAAACCCTGTATGTCTAAAAATATCTTTAAAATA